AGCAGTAAGTCATATGGGAGGAAATTGTCCATCTTTTTCCCAAGAAGTGCTGGTGGATCCAAGCCATAAGATAGGTACAGCCTTTGGGTTAACAGGGAAGCCCCCTACCAACTACACCACCAGAACAACCCCTATAACATGGTGCTCATGGGAGAGGTTCTGTCTACAATGCAGGAAAGCTGAGAGACTCCTCACTTAATGATTTCGTCTGATCCAGGCCATGGTCTTCACAATTACTTGCTATGTATCAGAGAGATGAACAATGACTAAGGATGATAGAAGAAAAATTGATGCCTTTGAGTTGTGGTGCTGGAGAAGAGTATTGAACATACTATCGACTGCCGAGAGAACAAGCAGGTATGTCCTGAAGAGGGTGAAACCAGGCTGCTCTTTGGAGGCAAGGATTTTGAAGTTCTGTCTGATCACTTTGGGAGTGTTGCAAGGAGGGACCAATTCTTAGAGAGGGATGTTGTTCTTGGGTGGAAGGACAGTGAAAGAGAGACAGACCCTGAATTAGATGGATTGTATCAGTGAGTGGGGTAGACGTGACAGAGACAATGAAATTGGCTGAAGATAGAGCAGGGTTCAGAGCTGTTGTATCTAGGGTCACTATGAGTCAGAGTTGACTCAACAGCACATAACAAGAAGAAGAAGTCATAAGAGGCCAGCGGGCCAACAGAATTGCATAGAAGTGGCTCATGAGGCTGCAAGAGAAAAATGTCTTCCCCAGAGGGGTGGGAGTAGTAAGTGCAGACTCGCTTCTTCTATCATCCTCATTGCTGACTCTTTTTTTTAAAAAAAAAAATGTACTATTATTATTAATTTTAATGAAAATTTACAGAGATTTTGGATTTCCATTCATTGTTGTACTTTTCTCCTTGCCCACCGCTCCTCTCCAGATCGTTCTTCTCTTTGAAAAGTAAAAGAAAAATTCTTTCATTGTTATACAATCCCTCCACCACCACCCCAACTCTCTTTAATATGCTGTTGGAGTGGGAGGGAGACTAAGAATGGTTAGTGCAATGAAGGAAAAACACTTTCACTTTCCAAGCTGTTACCTGTTCTCAAATGCCATATGCACCTCTAAAATCAGTCAAGTTCCCAGGATTCATCAGACCAGAAGAATCCACACATTTCCTCCAGTTCACGCATCTCATCCAGTTATTCGGCAGTCACTTCTTGTTAAGAAAGTACAGCTTCAGAAACTGGATGAAGGGTCCCCATGAGTCAGAATCGACTCAATGGCAGTAGGTTTGAGAGGTCGAAGGTTTCTATAATTGTACCCCCTGTGGATTCTGTTATACATACAAATGTAAATGCAGCATGTAAACATATATATGTATATATGCACCAGCAATTATATGTACATGCACATGTATGCCCATATGCCCTCCGATGCTTACATGCCTACCAACGTCATAACTTACCAATGTTTGTTCTTACTGTTTTTGCAGAATTGTGTATACTATAACATTTACTGTGTTGTGGTTATTATGTACCATTGAGTTGGAACCGACTCATAGTAATCCTACAGCAGGTTTTTAGAGACAGTAAATCCCCTAAAAGGAGATTGTCATCTTTTTTTTCCCTATTTTATTTTATTAATTTTTTTTTGTTTGTGTGCCGTCAAATCAGATCTGACTGGTACAGGAGGAGATGGTCCCTCCTTCTCCAGCAGAGCATCTGGTGGATTCGAACCGCATATCTCTGGGATTGCAGTGCAGCTTCTTGAGATTGTCATCTCATGCAGGGCAACTGGTGGATCCTAATTAAATGCCTTTGGGTTGGCAGCCCAATTCCTTTATCCTTATGTACATCTCAGTGTTTTCATCTTATGTGACATTTTAAAAATCCACTTGTCCTTCCAATTCACACCTCTGCCTCCCTGCAGAATTTAGATTATGTCCAGAAGATTGGCGATGGTAGGAGTTTCCATCTCTGCTGGGCAAACGTATCTTCTCCTTCCCAACTGAGGCTGCTGCTAGCCTTCCAGTTTGGGCAGGATGGGAAATCCCAACTAGATTAATTGCTTCCTTGGAGCAATTGGCAATCCCATCATGCTAAACTCTAGTGACATTTACGATGATTCTCCTTAGAGGCAAGGATTTTGAAGCTCCATCTCACATACTTTGGGCTTGTGGCCAGAAGGGACCAGTCCTTGGAGAAGGACATCATGCTTGGGAGGATGGAAGGACAGCACAGGAGAAAAAAGACCTCAGATGAGATGGATTGACATGGTAACTGGGGTAATGGGGGTAGGTGTGTAAGAGTAAGTGAGACTGGTTCAGGATAAGGTAGGGTTCAGAGCTATTGTGCATAGGGTCCCTGTGAGTTTCGGGCAACTCGATGGCACATAACAACAACATCTTTTCATATTCTCCACAAAGAGCATCATTCTATTTCCATTACTTTATACTCCATCTTCCAAATAGCAATGGTGCTTCCCAGTCCAACATTTTATATACTACCTCATCTGCTTTGCCAAAATGCATTGTTCTGTATTATTTTTCACCTCTGATAACAATGTATGTAGCGTTATTGATGAGCATCCTTTTTTTGGCAATAACATTCCACTGAATACCCTATTAGCCTCTCATTTGAGAGCTTGTCTCACTGATGTTGGCAGCTATGTCACCACTGGTTGAAATACTACCAGCAGGGTCACCATACTGGAAAGGTTCTAGGAAGACTAGAAAAGAAAGACTAGGAAGAAAGGCCTGGAAATTTACTTCTGATAATGAGCCCTGTAGATCACAACAAAATATTGCCCAATAGGTAAGAATGAGAAAAACTGGATAAATTATGTGTAGTGCATTGAAACAGATGAGGGAGGGAACAGTTCTAAAGCTATATATTATAGGTATTATGATTATCATAAGAGTCTAGAATGAAGGTTGCAGAGTAGAGTATACTCAGGGTGGGGGTGGGGGTGGGGGGATGCGGGGTGATTGTATATCAATGAAGGAATTTTTCTTCTACTTTTCAAAGAGAAGAACGAACTGGGGGTGTAGGGGGTGGGGAGTAAAGTACAACAATGAATGAATGGAAATCCAAAATCTCTGTAAATGTTCACTAAAATTAATTAAAAAAGTATTGCCCAATAGATTCCAATGAGCTAATAATCATGAGTGACTCGGAACAAGGCAGTGTCTCAGTCTGTTGTACATGGAACTGCCATGAGTTGGATGGAGTCAGCTTGACAGCAACTAGCAATAACAACAAGTGGTTTTCCACACAGAAGCAATCCTAGCAACACATTTCTTACCAGAAAGACTTCTGGGAATATGTGAACATGGGAGGCTGACATCTACAACAATGCAGTGATCTTACTAGATTACTCCTGAAACTTTTTTTTTGGTTCCTTTTACGTACTAACTGCTTTCACGCACATGAATGAAAGGATCATTTTCATTCGTTCCAAAACACTCAAATGCAGTATTTGTAAACATCCTCGTCTGTTAATGCAAGTGCATTTATTCAATCACTGACGAGCTTTCTGAATCTGTTTCCATTAAGGAAGCATGAGCCAATTGTATATCAGACTGGAGCATCTTTATCCTCCCTGGGCTGACAGACGCCATGGTGTCTGAAAGCAGCCCAAGCAGATGGGAATCGTAAAGCATGCTGAGTTACGCATATTCAACAGTAACTTCGACTTGATAGAAGATGCTTGCTATTCACAAAGCATCAGCAGTAATGCTGCCAGTTTATACATACATGTGTTCAGATATGCAGCAATGTGAACACACAACAGTAAATGAAAGGTATGTACGTAGTGAGCATGAATACCTAAATTTACTTTTGAAATGGAATCTTCCCTAGGACCTCAGTTGGTGTTTGCCTCCTTTTGTATCAGAAGGCACTTACTCCTAGAAAAATCATCAAATAGGCTTTGAGTTTATTTTCTTGCATTCTTCTGTCTCACCACACTCTTGTTTCTCCCACTTCCACTGTTGTTAAGCCAGAACTGACTCCTTGAGGGTCCTCTGTTGTGTTTATGAAGCTGTAAAGTTGAAGCACTAGAGTGGCTTGGCTTTTGGATTTGCAGTGCTACCACTTTATTTCTCTCCTAATTCCCTGCATCTTCCACTCTGTCTCTGTTCTGAAGTAGGGGTATTGTAGTTATGTACCAGGGAGGTGGAACCAACTCATAGTTGACCCTCCAGCAGGTTTTCAGAGGCAGTTAATTGCACAGGAGGAAATTGCCCATCTCTGTCCCATGGAGCAGCTGGGGGATTCAAACCCCATGCCTCTGGGTTGGCAACACAGCTCCTTACCACAAAGACACCAGAGTTCCCTAGGGATATTACAGACCCATTTCTATTACTTGTTAACATAGCTGTTAGAGGGATGGAAACATTTCAGTTGGGTGCCAATCCTCAGATCAATGGATTAACTGTAATCTCCATCAACAGGCTTTCACAGAGCTAAAGACATAATAGGGTTAGATTTCTCAGATTGTAGCATGCAAAAGTAATTCATGAGAAAGGAGCTCTGGTGGCCTAGTGTCAATAAGCTGCATTGCAATCCCCAAGGAGCATGGTTCAAATCCACCAGATGCTCCGCTATAGAAGGAAGGCAATCTCCTCCTGCACCAGTTGGATCTGATTCGATGGTACACAACAAGAAAAAAAAAGGGAAATTAAAAAATATTAATTAATCAGCAGGCTAGTGTGAAAGGATATAAGAATTATAAGTCCAGAGTTGAAGGGGAAAAATATATTCCTGTTTATTATAATCTATTTGATGTCTTATTTATTTAAAAAAAATAATAACATAAAGGCCATTAAAAAGAGAGACCATTTGCTTGAACCCTTCTTAAGTTTCTCACTGGTATCTATTTGGAGGGACATAGAGCAATGTCTCTGAGTAGAGGCAGGATTCCCTCTTAGACAAACAGCTCTGGAATTCTAGAAACTCTTCCCAGCAGCCTGGCATTGGATAGAAAAGGAGTGTTTAGTTGTTTCCAGTGGGCCATGCCATGACTTGCTGTCACTGACTCAGCCCTGTTGGCCCAGCATGCTCCATCAGAGGCTGGTGTCCACCAGCTGCCCTGGGTTCTGTAGCACCTCTTTTCTTCTGTTTATGGCCATGAGAACTTTCTTCCTGGGCCCCAGCTGCATATGTATGCTCTGAAGGTCCTCGTCAGAGCAGAGCAACAGAGCTTCCAGATCAATCTGCTCTCTCAAGAAAATGGGAAAGAACTCATCCAGGTGCTGTGACAGTAAGAATACTTCCAGGGGTGTAGCGTCAGACACATCTTCCTCCCACTCCACGTCATCTCCATCCCAAAGCAGATCATCGTCATGGCCATTTTTCTCTCTGGTTTCATCGGGTTCGGCATCATCAGCCTCTGCTGCGTCTTGCCTCTGAAGCAATTCACTGGGTATTTTAAGTCCCAGCTCCTTGCTGTCCGAGATGTCTTCTGTTCTCAACTGTGTGTTCCTGTTCAAAATGATACTTCCTAAACCTGGACGGTTGAGAATGGACTCACGTTGCACGTAGCTGTCCTCCTCTTCTGAGAACTGCAGCTTGTCTTTAAAGTCCCCTGAGAAAGAATATTCCTCCTCCTCATCCTCCTCTTCTTTGAACACCTCCATCACATTCCTCTGCCCTCTTTGGCCCTTCTCCCCTTGTTCTGCTGTGTCTTTGTTCTTCTTGAACTTTAGCTTGAAGGTGTCTTTAATGCCCTTTGACAATGACCCAAATGTCTTAGAAGCAGAAGCACTTGAAGAGTACGAGCTGGAGAAGGTGCCCTGGGAAGAAGAGAAAGTTCCAGATTCCCCCTTGCTGTACTTCCGGGCCATCTTATTTTGATGTTTCTCCTGGAGCCTCTCACACTCTTTGATCTGCTTCCTGGCATTCTTCTGAGCTTGCTCCTTCAGCCTGGTCACTTTCTTGGGGTTCATGATGTTCTGAGATGTGGCAGCCTTATCAAGGAGGGCAACACATTGATTCTGTTCCCTGCCAGCAGCAGCATCCAGTGGAGTCTGCAGGTCATTGTCAAGGGCAAAGATATTGGCCCCAAAATTTATCAGGAATGAGACACAGTGGGCGTGCCCGTTGGAGGCTGCATAGTGTAAAGGCGTGTTCCCCCAGATGTCACATCTATCAGGGTCCCCTCTAGAAGAGAAAATGAAAAGAAAAAAGAAAGTGTGTTAGGTTTTTTTCTCTCTAAACATAAGTTCTGTGGTGATGAACTTTAGAACATTTGATGTGTTAGCATATCTGAATAGGAGAGACCTAAATTGAAACTCTATTTCAAATTAAGCTAGTATTTGTATTCCCACCTTTCTATGAATGCATAATCTGTAGCCAGTTACACTATTAACTGAAAGACTGTACTTCTCCAGGGATTCAAATTCACTAGGGGCTCTAAGGGAGAAAGATGGGTGATCTGTTATGATTGTTATTGTTGTTGTTATGTACCATAGAGTCAGAACCTGCCCATAGCTGACCCTCCAGTCCGTTTTCAGAGGCAGTTAATCACACGGGAGGAGATTACCCATCCTTCTCCCATCGAGCAGCTGGTGGCCTCAAACCATGTGGCTTTGGAATTACAGCGCAGCTTCTTGCCATTAGGCCACCAGAGCTCCCTATGATTAGAGCCTTGGCAAGCCAATGGAGGCTTCCAATGAGTCAGAACTTAGTCAACAACAATGAGTTTGAGTTTTGAGCTTCTTAAAGAACCCTAGAGCATGGTAGCCTAATGGCAAGAAGCTGTGTTGCAATATCAATTAACTGCCTCTGAAAACCTGCCAGAGGGTCAGCTATGGGTTGGTTCCAACTCGACACACAGATCAAATCTTTCTTGGATGGTTACCTGGGCTGGGAAAGGAGGAGTAAGAGTAAAAATTTGTAAAAATTTAGGTGGAACCACTGTGGAAGACGGTATGGCACTTTCTCAAAAAGTTGCAAATAGAGATACCATTTGACTCAGCAATTCCACTACTGGGAATATACCCCAAAGAGACCATAACTGACACCCAAGCATCTGTACAACCATGTTTATTGCAGCTTTGTTCACAGTAGCAAGGAGTTGGAAACAACCTAAGTGCCCATCAACAAACTAATGGATAGAGAAGCTGTGGTATATTCACACAATGGAATACTATGCTGCATTGAAAAACAAGGAACTCATGCAATATTATTCAAAATGGGTGACCCTGGAGGACATTATGCTGAGTGAAGTATCTCAGTCACAAAAGAAAAAATATTGCATGGTGCCACTGTTATAAAACAGGACTGACCTCGGGGCTGGGGGGTTCAAATATGGGTTCAGTAACGTATACTGCATTGAAGCAGATGAGGGAGAAAACTGTTTAAAAGGGATATGTGATTAGGTATTTTTGTCATGACAGGAGTCCAGAGCGAAGACTGTATAGTGGAGTGTACCTGGGGGGAGGGATTGTAAAACAATGAAAGAATTTTTCTTTTACTTTTCCAAGAGGGTAGTGTACCATGGGGGGAGGGTTGGGAGGGGAGAAAAGTACAACAATGAATGAATGAAAATTTTTTAAAAATCTAAAAATTTTAAAAATGTAAGAAATTAGTAAATAATAATAAACACAAACCCCACTCATTGCTGTTGAGTTGGCTCTGACTCACAGCCGGTTTTCAGAAGCCATAAATCACATGGGAGGAGACTGCCCACCTTTCTCCTAGCAAGCTGGTGGACTGGCTGTTTTTCTGCCAGGGAGCCACTGGCAGATACCATAGAGAGAGGCCACCTTTTATTTAGCACAGCAGCGCCCTACAGACTGTGCTACGGTGTTGCTGTTGTTTAGTGTTGTGAATCCACTACAACTTGTAGCAACCGTATGAACAAGAGATCTGAGGACTGTCTTATCCTGTGCCAGCCCGACCATCTCCAACATACCCGAGCTCATCACTATTGTCACTGTGTCAGTCCATCTCACTGAGGGTCTTTGCCCCCCCTTGACTGACTCTAGTTTTCCAAGCATGATGTCCTTTTGTAAGGACTGACACACCCCCCTCTCCCCAATGTCATGTGTTGTTATGTACCATCAGGTTGAAACTAACCCATAGCTGGCCCTCCAGCAGGTTTTCAGATGCATTTAATCCCACAGGAGGAGATGGCCCATCTTTCTCTTGCAGAGAAGGTGGGACATAAACTGTTCAGCTTTGGGTTGGAAGCACAATTCCTTACCACTAGCTCCCTAAATAGATAATGTGGTTATTGTTGTTATTATATGTCACTGAGTTTGAATTGATTCATATTTAACCCTCCAGCAGGCTTTCAGGGGCTGTAAATCACATAGGAGGACACTGCCCATCTTTTTCCCCATGGAGCAGCTGATAGATTTGAACCACCAACACTTGAGATGGCAGCACAACCCCTTACTCATATTAAGATGGGTGAAGAGAAAGGCAATAGACCATAAGGGAATGATTGGCGCAAAGCCACTAAAGAAAAAGAATACACAGAGAGGTGGGGGAGTATTAATGGAAAAAAGAATTACTGGGAGGCAATGAAAAAAAATGTGATTATATTGTGGGCATCGAAATGAATACCATAGAACAAAATGCATGTTGATGGTCAAATGAAAAATTGCTTTCCTTCATAATTTTTTCATTCAAACCACAATTTAAAAAAGAAAGACGTTTGTGACTTGGCAACTCCTTGTAAATCTCCCTCCTTCTGTAATTCTCTTTGATGTAAAACTGGCCCTTCGGCTTGCCTTCCCCAATAAAAACTGACTTCTTATGTATGTGTGTGTGTGTGGGGGGGGGGAATGCAGGGTGCATTTTCTTGTCAGATGCCATATGGACTCCACTTCATGACAAGGAATCTCTTGTTTGTCATTCCTAACAGGACATTCATCTACTGCTTTCACTAAGACGCATCACAACAAAATAAAACAAAAGAAACAAACAAGCAAAGCAGAATACATGTGAACACAAGCATGTTTGTACCACGCCTCGACATGGCTGTGTGGTCGTTGCTGTAAGAGGGAGCCCTGGTGGTGCAGTCCAGAAGGTCTGGGCTGGGAACCTTACTCAGCCGCTCTTGGAGGTTCACATCTGCCAGTGGCTCCTTGAGAGAAAGATGGGCAATCTCTCGCCTGTGCTGTTTACAGCCTTAGACGTTCCCTGGAGTTGGTTTCAACTCGACGGTGATGAGCTGAGTCTGAGTAATTCCAAATGTGCCACATCCAGGCACCATATGGCCAGAAACAGAAAGAGCCTGACTTGGCACCTCTTTTTTTTAAAAAAAATTTATTTTCTTTAAATTTTTTATTTTTATTTTATTATTTGTGTGTACCGTCAAATCAGATCTGACTGGTACAGGAGGAGATTGTCCCTCCTTCCCCAGCAGAGCATCTGGAGGATTCGAACTGTGTGCCTCTGGGATTGCAGTGCAGCTTCTTGCCACTAGGCCACCAGAGCTCCCCTACCTCTTTTTTTAAAAAAAACTAAAATAATATTGTATAACAAGGCATTGCTGTACAGAGGTAGCTCCTGGTTGCTGTGATGCTAAACACTGTGACACTCATGTACCAAATGCAATAATGGTTACCCATCGTGGACAGTGTTTGGTGGAGCTTCCGGATTAAAACAATTTTGGGTGCAGGAGTGGCAGCCACTTGGGAAACTCTATAAACAGTGCTCAGGTCTTTTGTTCATAGGGTCACTATGAATCAGTCCTCTACAACTCAATGACACTTAACAACAACATTGTATAACAATGAAAGAGTTTGACTTTTCAAAGAGAAGCACAAACTGGAAGGGGAAGGGTGGCCAGGGAGAAAAGTCTCTGTAAATTTTCATTAAAATTAGTTTAAAAAAATAATGTTTTTATTTTGTGTTGGTTTGCTTATAAATTTCATATACATTATTTTTCTTTGTTTGTTTGTTTGGGGGTTCTTGGGGATATTTTTTCCGGTTGTTGTTGTGTACCATCAAATTGGATCTGACTGGCAGAGGAGTAGATTGCCCTTTCTTCTCCACCGGAACATCTGGTAGATTTAAACCGTGTGCCCTTGTGATTGCAATACAGCTTCTTGCCACTAGGCCATCAGAGCTCCCTTGGATGCATTGTTTTTTAGAGAGGATATTTCCCATTTCCTTAACCCACCCTCCCCCCTTTACCCATCAAATCGTGCAACCCTATGATTACCCTCCTGCCCATCCTTATCCCTCTGCTCCTACCCTCTCCCCTGAAGCAAGAGTTTCTCAGGAACCCTCAGATAGAACAACTTTTGTGTCTCATTGGCGAGAATTAGGTCACTTGCTTACAAGAAAGAAATGTTTGATTCATATTAATGGGCATTTTCCTCCTGATACTGGAAGGAGGGTTATGCAATACAGCTGTTGTTTTTGTTAGTTAAAGTACAATGCACAGAGACTTGTGGACAGCAGATCTGAACTCTGCTAGATCCAACGCCATTTTCACTGTCTCTAATATACTTGAGCTCATTGTTATGGTCACTGCATCAATTCACCGTCCTGAGGGTCTTCCTCTCTTTCACTGACCCTCCACCCTTCCAAACATGATCATATAATGTCCTTTCCCAAAAACTGACCCAAAGAATGTGAGATAAAGCTTCGCCATCCTTGCATCCAAGGAGCACCTTGGTTACATTCGCTCCAAGGCAGACTTGTTTGTTCTCTTGGAAGTATGCTTATAAATGTTAAAACGGCTCACCCAGGGAAACCATAAGGCCCTGATTGTTTTAATTGTCCCATTGCCAGAGCTGCATGCCTTTCTGATCTCTGCTTGTAGTCACTTGGCATCCTTCTTAGGTCCACTTAATAAAGGCGTGTTAATTTCTCGGGACCAGCTTTTTCTTTCCTCCCTCCCTTCCTCCCTTCCTTCTTTCCTTCCTTCCTTCCTTCCTTCCTTCCTTCCTTCCTTCCTTCCTTCCTTCCTTCCTTCCTTCCTCCCTCCCTCCCTTCCTTCCCTCCCT